CCAAGACACAGTGCAGCCGTGGGCAGCTGCTAGTGGCCCTGCGTCAATACAGGGGATAGGGAGGAGCAGATGAGGATTTCTTCTCTATTCCCCTCAGCCTACGTGCTTGGTCGATCGGCCTTCACTTGCGACACCCTCTCCCTTTGTGGATGGGGCTTCTTTTCCGTCAGCTCGCACGGAGCCATTCCCAGTGTATCATAATTGGATTCCATCCCTGCACCTTCCTTCCCCCTCCCACCTGGGCTGCCTGGGAGAGCAGTGCAGCACACACGTTGTGAACGGAGTGGCTGTATTTTGCCCCTGTTTGCAGAATGTCCACAGACCATGATTTTCTCTAGTTTAGAAATGACGCTAAGTCATTAGCCAACATTTATCCACTCCCTGGCGCAAATACCCGCGGGGGACCACCTGAACTTGCCTGCCAGCCGTACTCGAGCGTGCCGGGGGAAGGGTGCTCTCCCAGCAGTAGCCACTAGAAAGTCAATTGCATGATTGTTCCCAGAGACAGACCCCAAAGGGAATTCTTTCAGCCCTAGCACCGCTCGGAGAGGAGCTCACTTTGCAGTTTTCCCTCAGCTCCGTGCCCACTGCGATGGTGGTGGAACTGAACGTGAGATGCAGGAACACAGGCTGCCCGAGAGGAGACGGAGATCAGGGAGCTCCTAGAGAGCTCTCCGAAACAGCGCCGTTGTGGGATCACCTCATCCCCTGGGAGTGGAACGTGGTCGGAGCGCCCTGCTGCTCCAGAAACGGCCATCTAAGGAGCATGGCTTCAGTCAGTCCAGTCTACTCATTACAGTCAGCTACTGGCTGAACGGGACTGCACAGGCCCTCAGGGCGTCCGTGCTCTGCCCCGGAACCTCCCTTAGTGTCCACGTGCTTATCAGAGAGCCCCAGTCCCTGCTCCCAGTGCTGTCCGCAGCACAAGTGTGAACTCTAAGCTCCTTTGGTCAGTCCATTTGGAGTCGGAAAGTCAGGAAAGCAAAGACAGGACCTCCTGAAGCAGGACTACGTCAGCTGGAGAAAAGACAAGCGCCTGGAAAGGAGAGATCAGGGACAGAGGGAACACTGAGGGTTGCAGAGAGGAGCGAGGAGACTATGGCTTGGTCTACACCTAAAACGTGGGACGACAGCTACAGGACTGTAAAAATGTCACACCAGGACTAGGTCGGCCTAACCCCTGGTCAAGACACAGGCTGGTCGATGGAAGGGAGCTTTGTCCCCCCAGCTATCGCCTTTTGGAAAAACCCTTCCATGGGTGGAGGAAGTCTATAATGTGGAGTTACAGCAGCACAGCTGTAGCGCCGCGTTAGCGGCCGTCACGTAGACATAGACCAGGTGGGAAAATGCTGTGAAACAGGGTTGACCGAAGGCTCCCTGGTCAATAGCCCCTCTGAACGTCCAAGAGGTTGAAGGACCGGGTGGCCCTCAATTCAAAAGTCAAGTCAACAATTCTACTCTGCAGCCTCCTTCCACATTTGCGGCGCTTCCCGTGCTTGGAGGCATGGCCAGCCGTCCGGCACGCGGATCTGCTGCTTCCTGGCAGACGGGGCAGAGGAAATCGCATGCAAGGCCCTCCCCTCACGCCAGATGATGCGCTCTCCCCTTCCCAAAGGCTGGGATGCCCAGATCCATGAGGCTTCATCGGTCAACCACTACCAGCTCTTGGAAGAAGAGCTCGTGGGGAACCTGAAAGGGTTCGTGAGGGAGGGGGGAGTGGATTGAGCTTTTGTCAGGATGGAACGGGAGGGAGAGAGGGATCCATCCACCAAGTGCTGGCTGGAGCACAGGATGGTGGGGGGGGGGGGTTTGGGGCAGGGAATTGGGGGGGGGGGCCGGCC